GGGGGGAGGCTGAATTTTATCCTAATTTGATGTTTTGCAGTTAGGTTGCATCTCTGCATCATCTCTTTGTGTAGCCTATTAACTATTTCAAATAGAATCTATATCTAGATCTAATCTAGATTCTAGATCAATCAAGACTTCTGGATTTCTTCTCTGGATGTAAACAAATGGATCGTGGACTTTAACGTTTGAGTGACGATGTTTGAGGAGTATGAAGGTTGTAGGGACTTCATTTATAACATAAATAACTTACCTCTCGTCTCACCTGCAGCCCGCCAAGCTAGATCAACATCCAGTGCAGAGTGCCGAGTGTGGATTTCAGCGGAATAGAACAGTGCCCTTGTTTATATTGTTGTCGAAAGGATCACACAACAAGTCACATGATTTCTTCCGGGCTCTTTCCGAAGAAGAGCAACATGTACATGTTTACTTGTCGATTTCGAGGACATATTATCGTGGATATAACCAGGTGCCAGGTATGGAAAGAAAAGTAAAGTTAAAAAGAAAACTAACAAAAGTAAAGCAGTTTGGCTAGTTAATGCAAAGATAAGAAAAGATCCTGAGCATTAGGCCCATACAGTACAAAATATAGAGTGGATCGTCGAATAATCCAGTGTACCGACTGCTATATTCCGAACTATGTACAGGTTTGGTCATGTGACCCAACAAAAAAAGCTTCGTACTTCGTTGCTTGATCCATTCTGTCTTAGCTTACACTTGGCTATTATGATGGTTGCCGTTTTCTAATGTTTCACGGTTTTTGAGCGAAAAGTGCGTCTGCATTGATTTGCCGACGAAGGGTGGAATTTAATTAATGTAAGCTAGACAATCTTAGCATGTTTTACGCCACTGTAAAGCTTGATTCTTATGTGTTTTTAGAGTTTTCTAGTTTCTGGACGAGGCAAGGGCCTTGTCTGCTACTTACTTGGCCCACCTTGGCTTGGTAGGCTACTACTACACTACACAGTTGGCTGGTGGATCCGATTCAGTTGGTTCTCCTGGTTTACGGATCTGTGAAGAGATTAGGGTCTACTTGTAATTCAGCCTCCCAACTATATATATATATATATATATATATATATATATATATATCCCCTTCTCAATCAGATGTCCTTTGTCAGGGCTTAGAGGGAGCTGTCATTTCTCCCTTCTTCAACTTCAACCCATAAAAGTCTCTTGCATTGTCTGCTTGGGTTAAAATTACTCTACAATAATTCAAATGACTAACTGTAACTCAGAAAAACCACTTCACTGCTTCACATTGTATGCTACGGTGTGATGAGTATACTGTCAATGTCAAGAGTATCAAGTCATCAGCTCTCTCCCATTTCCCCCAGTTCCTCTGCATACTGCATGGTCAGCAGAGAAGAATTAACAGTGATCTTGTAGTTCCGTTGGTTAAGTCCACAATCCATTTGTTTACATCCAGAGAAGAAATCCAGAAGTCTTGCTGACCAAACAAAGAACAGGGATGCAACCTCTGCAAAACATCAAATTATGGTAAAATTCAGAGGGGCATGCCCCCCCCCCCCCCCCCCCCCCCAACCTCTGTAATTTTTTATTAGGTCAGGGGGGCAAATCCCCCTAAAACCCCCCTACTAAGCTCTTGACTCTAACGAACGAAACTACAAAATCACCGAATTAACATTCGTGGGATCCTCTCGTAAGGCTTTATAAATATGTATAATATATTATTGATTTGTGTGTAAACTTCCCACTGGGCAGGACAATAAAGTATCCTTGACTAGAGTAGGCTGTTATCTTATCTTAGATATAATCTCTCTCATAAATCGGATCCCAGAAGCTCATGGAGTTGTACTGCAACCTCTCAATTTATAACATCATCAGGGCCAGAACAAAATGTCATAACGGAGAGAGTTGTATTTTTAGAGGGGCAACCTAAACTATTACTTGTGATATATTTAGGAAAAAATCGGGACGTGGGCACCATGTCGCCATATATAGAGGATGTTATTATATCGAAGGTCGTTATAGAGAGAGAGGCTGCATAATATAATGTGGATATCTTGTGGGAGATAAGATTTTGATTTTATTGATGGGAAAGGGTGTGGGTTTGGGCCTTGATTTTTGGAGATGATCTGACTGAGAAGTGAGAAGGAAGTGCATGTGTACTCTTTAACCTTTTCAAAGAAAAAGTAGAGTGGATTCGAAGTATTGTAGGCTAATTAAATTAGTAGGCCTATTGTTAGTTTGGACCTGTCAGTCTTATCACCAGGAAAGGGGCAGATGAGATGGCCTCTTGGTTGAAAATGAGAACAATATATAATTTTTACTTTGACTTTCATTCTTTTCTGGCCCCACTCTCACTTCCCCATTGCCTCTTCTTGTCACCCTTGACACCCCCCCCCCCCCCCCCCGACCAAATCCCTCCACTTTTTCTCTCAGTTGTACTTCCCACACATTCATACATACAGAAAAGACTATGATGGTTAGGGTGTTAAAGATTGATACTTTTAAAGAATATAAGAACAAGAAATGATGTTCAAGAGGTTACAGTATTTTCATGATATTGAATAAATGTACTTTTGACTATTTGTGTCTTTTCTATCCTCAGATAAGATGTTACAAGGAACATTTGAAATAAAATGACAATGGGGTTATGTAAAGAGGCCGTTGTTGTCTTTCTTCTCTCCTTCGTGCTCTTTGTCCAAGCTGAAGTGAAGCGTCACAGAAATGTTTTGGTGTTTGTTGGTGAGTACGTAATCCCACAATGTTCAAGCTTTTTAGAGAAGTGTAAGAGTTTTACAGCACTAGCTACACACTAGGTCATATAAGTGCCGAAGATTAAAGGTGTTACAAGTGAGTAACAAACACAAAAAAGAAGGAGGAGAGATCAGGACGATAGATATTTGATAGGAAAGAAGGAGCAATAAACCATCCCAGAGCACCTGCCAACAACCCACTTTTGTGGAAGTGAATTAATAATGCTTCAGTACGGGTCTTTATCATCATCATCATTGCCTTTCTCACCCTGGATCAGGATATAGGCCATGAACAAACACTTTCCACCTTTCCCTATATAGATCCTGGGTTAGTCGCTTGATGTCACTACATGTGTTCCCACTTTTCTATTCAGTGGGTCTTACAGATGATAAAAATGCTCATTTGTCTCCTTGGATTTTTTCCCCCTCTTGGGCTGGGTTGGCCCAGACAAGTAGGCCTATATGATCGAAAGTCCACCTCTTAATCGATCTTAGAAATCATGTGAAAAAGAAAGTAAATCATTAACATTCTAATGAACTTTCAGGCCATAGACTCAACTTTTATTAGAGATTTCGCTATATATGATAAACAGCCATTGTATTTGTAAAGTCACCACAAAATTTGTTGTTGGCTCCAAACAGTGATCTTTTAAAAATGTCAGCTCATCATGATTCTGATGTCATGTTTGACAATTTTTCTCTTATGTAAATATATCAGGTATCAAATCTGTACACATGTTTAAGTCTGCTATCAGCCAGATTTGTTTCATTCATTAAAAATATATTATTATGTTGTTTTCAGGTGATGACTATGGATTTGAATCTCAAGTTTATAACAACAAAGTTTGTAAAACACCAAACTTGAATGCTCTTGCACAACGCAGCCTAGTGTTTGACAATGCTTTCACCTCAGTCAGCAGCTGTTCACCAAGCAGGTAACTTTGTCTGCTTTTTCCAAAAATAATAATAATGGTAATAATAATAATGATACTACGACTTCTACTACTACTAATGATAAAAATAATGATTATAATAATGATGATAATAAGGATGATAATGATAATGATAATAATGATGGTAATAATACTAAGAAGAAGAAGAAGAAAAAGAAGAAGAAGAAGAAGAAGAAGAAGAAGAAGAAGAAGAAGAAGAAGAAGAAGAAGAAGAAGAAGAAGAAGAAGAATATCGTTTGAGAGATACACCTGATTAAATTTGTATTTTATTTGAAATATTACTGTGAAATGCCACGACAATCCTGCCTGTTCCCAGTGATTGAGCTAGGGCTAATGGAACATTGAGTGGTGCCTTCCATGACTGATAAGAATAACTGTTTCTTTGACCAGCAAACCTAAACCTCAACAGCTTATTAGTGTAAGACTCCGCCATGTGCCATTTAAAAAATAAAACATAAAAAAATAAATTACACTTTTATTGATCCCAGAAGGGCAATTTGGTTTACAATGGCAAACATACACGCTTAAAAGCGATTATTTTATGCTGTATGCGTATATCGTTGCTTTTAAGCACTAAGGGGGCTATCCCAAAAAATGCTGTTTTGAGAAAATCGAAGGTAAAATTTTTGCCCCTTGTTCAGTTTCTTTAAAAGACAAGGAGAGTTTTCTCTAAAACCAAACAAATATATATACACATCAATGAAACCAAACTTCTCCTATAGGAAGGGTAATGCCCTCTTAAATTTTGGTGCAGGTCAAGATTTCTGGAAACCCCCAAAATCTGGCGCGGGTCGGGTTAGCCCGCTTGTCCTTAAAAGTGACCATAGGCCTATATATATATATATATATATATATATATATATATATATATATATATATATATATATATATATATATATATAAAAGCTTTGCTCAACTCTGAATCGGGGGGAGGGGGGGGTAAATATATTCCACTGTCCCTCTATCAGGTGGTGCAACTCGCCCCTGCTGATTTAATTACACTACTCAAACTTTAGATCTTTAACAAAATAACCTTAGAAGCTGTCAAGTTGTTATGTCACACTACAGTCTCTCTTTACTTGTTTGTTGTTCCACCTCACAGCACATGGAAGTAAAAACATTTTAGCACACACACTGAATTTTCGACATTATCTGATGGAAATATGAATTAAAGGGCAAGTTTCGGCTTTTATGATTTGTGGTTGGTGCATGCAGATTTTCTCTTTATTTTGCAACAATTAACATACTCATAAACTTTGTTTAAAATGATCTTAAAGTTTTGTAAATATGTTGCGATAGAATAATAATAATAATAATAATAATAATAATAATGATAATAATAATAATAATAATGATGAAATAAGAATTGCTTTTATATAGGGCATATCCAGCCTCTGCAATTTGGTCTATCCGCTTGACAGCTAGAAACTATTAATTTATGTTGGAACTAAAGTCGTATTTCCAGGGATTTCCAGGGATTTCCAGTTGTTATAGTTTCTATTTGTCAGTCTTGTCCCATTTCTTAGGTCAGCTATTTTGTCCGGACTCCCTCAACACCAGAACGGCATGTACGGGCTGCACCATGGTGTGCACCACTTCAACTCTTTTGACGGGCTCAGAACTCTGCCAAACATACTCAGCAAAGCTGGCATTAAAACTGGTTAGTTTTCATATTTTGTTCTAGTCACATAAATATAAGATTATAATGCTTTCAATATTATATATCTAACTTTACGCTATTTCATACATGTAACATTGTTTTTACTCGCTATATATTTAAATACAGTGTGATCCAAAAAAAACCCGTACAACTTTTTTTGTTAATATTTTCCTCTACACTGGAGTCTTGAGTTTCAAATTTATACACAACATTTGGAAGTCAAAAGGAATTTGTCTGATATTCATTTTAGATAAATCCACCTAATAGCTTTGCTCTACATAGCGCGTAAAAAAAACAACCCGTTTTCAGCTATGTCCCTGTTTTTGTAGCATGACGCACGAGTTCACTTTAGGCCTGCCACTAAAAGTCCCAACGATTGGGCCAAATTGCAAGCTACAGTAGTCTAACAGGCCAACAGAAGTTTTCAGATAGTTTTTCTCAAGTTTCCTTTTCCTTTAGGGATCATGGTTAAGGTTAGTAAAGAACAGAGAGCTTTTTGTATTGATCACTTCCTCACCACCAACTTATTTCGTAAGTTTCGCACAAGGTACGGAAATAATGTACCCTTAAGGCCTTCTTTGCCAATTTAGTTTTTTGTTAGACGAGACAGAAAAGTTTGTAGGGCATTGATGGTGTTGTCTGTTGCATTTTGTTTCATAGGTAATCCCTTGCATCACAATATACGAACGACGCGTTAAAATGTGTCAAGCCCAAAGAAGGACATATAGACCATTGGTTCTCGGAATTCCGGAATTTAAACAAATATTTTTTAACTCCGTAGGGGAAATATAATATTTTTTTTATGGTTACAGGGATGGAAAGATTCGATTTATAAAATAAAAGGAAAGGAGTAAAACAAACCAATTATCATGACTTTCCTTACAAGGTCTTTTAAATTGGTGAATTTTGCCTTTATTATATAGGTAGTTTTTATAAAATCCATTTCCACTTTCGAAAAAAAGTTTCTTCTTCGTGAATTTTATGGCAAACAAATTCCTTTTGAATGAATTATATTGGTTCCAAATTACAACGTTGTAGTACAAATTTTGTGCGAGATATTTAGAAAAAAGGTTGTACAGTTGTTTTTTTTATCACCCTGTAAATCTAAATAGGCAGGGTTTTTTTAAGCTGCTGATTTTGTTATAAACTTGTGTAAATGAAGTCGACTAAGATTTATATACCCCCAGGGGCAGTGCTACTGACTGAAGTGTCTGTAGGCCATTCCAAAAGGGGGGACATAAAATGTTCTTATGCACAGTACAATTTTAAATTGTAAATGGGCTGATTCATCAATGTCATGCTCATAACTGTGCCTGAACTGAAACAGGCAACTGCTGCTTTTTCTTTCCTAATCCTTACTATTGTCGTTTAACCTCTACTTCTTTTGTATGTTTGTCACACTCTCGTGACCCGCTATTTCCTGGATGCCTTGATAGTCGAAACAGACTTTATGCTGTTGAAGTTAGAGAGGTGAGCAGAGTAAGCCAGATTCCCTGTAAGGACTTCTCTGTTGACATCCACCCTTTGGCGCTCATATGACCTTTTATGCATTTGCGAGCGCTGTAAAGCCTCTTCTAAAAAAATATATCAGATTTTCCTTCCATATTTTCAACTACTTTGCAATCTTTTCCTCTTTTATATTGATGGTCTTCGGATGTTTTAGTTAGTTGCTTACAATATACCCCTTTCACTTGTCGTCCAATAGGTATAGTTGGAAAGAAACATGTGGGTCCTGAATCTGTGTACAGTTTCGACTATGAAGTTACAGAGGAGCAAATCTCCATCATGCAAGCTGGCAGGAACATAACGTTCATGAAAGAGAAAGTCGCCGAGTTCTTTGCTCAGAAAGAAGAAGAGTATGTGTGATAGAATCAAACCTTGTTCTTTTTAAAAAAAATCTGTTTTACCTCATCTCATGCATACTGGCCGTCCTGAATTTGAATTGATATATATGAGACGTGCTGACAAAATGAGTTATTTCTCACAACCCACAAAAAATGGAGATATTGGCCAAAAATCTACACTAGGGTCAGATTTGTAGATTTTCTATTGAAGTTGAAGCCATATTCTCTAACTATATACATGTAATAATAACATGCCTTTTATTATTTCATACTAATAAATTGTAATAATTCACCTTATAAGCGTGATATATCTTTTCCGAGAAGTAGCTCATTTTGCCAGCACGCTTCATATATGATATGTGTCTTTTCATGCAGCACACACACCCTATGATATCTTGTGCATCTTCTTCTCCTCAGTCTTGTTCTTGTCTGACTGTCTGTTATGTAGGCCTGAAAGTGTGAGGGGAATGTGAGCATTGTCACTGCTACTTGGTGAAACCTGTTGTTTCCAGCTTTACAACTGTGATAGGCCTACACTGTTGAGTAAAGTTTGTTTCGTAAACAAATGATGATGGGTGTTAGGCAGGTGCTCTGGTGTGGTTTGCTCCTTCTTCCCTACCAAACACCCATCGTCCTTATCTTTCCTCCTTTTTGGTGTTTTTTACTCTCTTGTAACACCTATCTTTGGCACCTATATGACCTTACTGTGTTGCAAGTGCCGTAAAACTCTTACTAAAACCAATGATAGTACATAACAAGATGGGCCACTTCTCTCTTTGAGCCAATTAAAAAAGTGTCCTCAAAATTTGGTGGCGCCCTCTTCACAAAAGCGCACTTTGCGAACAGAGTTACCCTACTTGAGTTTTTAAAAATCAAAGTGAAACTAGCATGTTTTGGGATAAATTTCGGAAGAACGCTTTTTTTTAATGGTTACGCTGACAAAAAACCTTTTCCGGAGGAAAGGGTGATGGTTTTCTTCGTTTAATTTGACTTTAGAATGAAAGGCGAGAGGTCATTAAAATAAAAAAAAACCCCTAAAACTACGCACTGAACGTACCCGAACTGCTGATGAACAGCAGTCGATCTGCGCACGCAAGGAGGTGCTATTCCTATTCTTCTTCTGGAAAAACGAAAGAGAGCTTCAAAACAGACCGCAGCGCCATCTGAAGCAAAGAGCATACTTCCTGCGGACACTTTTTTGGCTGAGTGAACCATCTTGTTATGTACTATCATTGCTAAAACTAAACAAATGATGAACAATAGACCTTAAAACTGTGGCCCTCAGCCTTTAGGTCCTGAAAAAACTGTGTTTGTATGCACACCAAGCGGCCGATTTTAGTTTGGTATTTTCAAAGATTTTGCACAGTTCATTTGAGAGACTATAAAAAATAAGTATGCAATTATTTCTTGATTTTTAGACTTTACTTTAACTATTGAAGACTTAGTATCATGTACTCAGTTATAGCCTTAAAATCGCTTGGTCGGTAGTTGGAAGTAATACAGAACACTAGAAGTAAATTGATTGATTGAGGGATGTGTAATTTCTATCCTTTCTCCTCACATAAAGTGGGAACCCTTTTGTTCTTGTAAATTGCTGGCCTCCCCCTGTGCCTTCCCTTCTTTCTGATCAAACATCTAGATCTATTGTCCTCATCTCTCCTCCTTTTTTTCTTTGCATGTTACTCTCTAGAAATTTCTCTAGTCTTTGGCGTTTATGTAGCCTATTAGTGTTGTGAGTGCCACCAATTCTTACCCTATCCGTATGTCGTGTTTTACTATCATATCCATACGACGTGGGGAACTCTCTGCCGCCACTTTTCAAAGAGGAAATTTACTCTTTAATCCGATCAGTGCGCTTGGCATAGCAGTCTGTCAGAATGATTTTTTGAGAAATACTGAAAGTTTTAAAGAGATCTTTGTACTAGAAGTATTCTAAAATGTGAAAAATACAACCCCGGGGGTACAAAATGACCCCAGGGCGTATGGATAGGGTTAATGAAACTAAGTAAATACTAAAACTTCAGACCTCCCCCTGTTCTTGTGATTGTCCAGCTTCTCTTGCTCATCTAGTATGTCCCCCCCCCCTCTCTCCCCCCCTCTCTGTACACATGTACATTTTATATAGCAAACAGTTCTTCCTGTACATCGGCTTCCACGACCCCCACCGCTGCGGCAGCACACACCCTCAGTACGGGCAGTTCTGTGAGAAGTTTGGTAATGGCGAGCCAGGCATGGGCGTCATTCCAGACTGGACGCCCGTCTCGTACTCCGCGCAGGAAGTGGAGGTGCCAGACTTTGTCCAGGACACTCCAGCGGCCAGGGAGGACATCGCTGCCCAGTACACGACGATCAGCCGCATGGATCAGGGTGGGTGGCCCTTTCTGTTGTCATGGTAACCGCATTGGCTGGAGCACACACCTCAGAGTGCGCTACTTTTACCTTTACGAACTTCTGACACATGCTTACTGTGAAGAGGGGGGGAGGGGTCTGGTATGGTGTGGGTGTAGTTTATAAATTTATGTGAGCTTTTTGGTTTCTTGATATCTTTTGTGTGTGTATATATGTCGCGTGTTTGATTTATATATATATATATATAAATATATATATATAAATATATATATATATATATATATATATATATATATATGTTCTTCTGTATGATAATCTAAGACAATTCTCTGATAAATGCGGATAAAGTACATGTAGGCGAGCAACTTAATCTTATTATTATAATTCTAATTTTCCTCTGTAGGAATTCAACTGATCCTGACAGAGTTGGAGAAGGCCGGCCACTCTAACGACACTCTGGTTCTCTTCACCTCGGACAACGGGATTCCCTTCCCAGATGGGCGGACCAATCTGTACACAGGTAACTCAAACAACTGTTGCTTCTATTTGGTCACTTTTAAGCACAAGGGGGCTTTCCCGCAAAATACTGTTTTGAGAAAATGGAAGGTAAAGTTTTTGCCGTTTAGTCAGTTTCTTTTAAAGACAAAGAGAATTTTCTCTATAACCAAACAAATATACACACCAATGAAACCAAACTTCTCCTATAGGTAGGGCAATGCCCACTTTTGGTGTAGATAAAGATTTCTGAAAACTCCCGAAATCTGGATTAGCCCACTTGTCCTTAAAAGCGACCATTTTGTCGCTGTACTGTGCACGGGTAACTCAAACAACAGTGGCTTCTATTTTGTCACTGTACTGTACATAGTCCGGGTTCGAGCATCGGTTTAGACACATGTTTTTTTCGCCTCCTCGTGCCCACCCAGCAGTAATGGGTACCTGACTTCGAGTTAAGGAAGTAAAGGCAGTGTGGAAAGGAACTGCCCCCCCTACCACAATATGCCGAAGGTCCAGGAAGTTGTTTCACTGACAAAGCAATCCCCAATGTCCAGATCGGATGGGGGAACAACTTTACTTTTTTTACTTTACATGGGTACTGACTACAACACCTGCTGCCAAATGATCAAGTCAAACCTCAAGGAAGACTGGATGAATGATTGGGCCACAGGTACAACAGGAAGGATGATGTATGGCCACATGAATAAACCACTGGTCAAAGATCCAATCAATGAGTTGAGGAGGGGAGATCAATCCATAATCTTCCAACTTAGAACACAACATGTACCCCTCAACCAACATCTCAACCGAATTGGAGTAAAGCAGTCTGCTGCCTGCCCACTATGTGACTACCCCTCAGAGACAGTGGAACATCATCTGTTCTTCTGTAGAAAGCTAACTGATTTAAGAGAATGTTTTCTTCCCAAGCTACCCCACACATCTAACTGCCTCTACTCCTCAAGACAACAATTAGAACAGACATGCAGCTATTACCGAATGGCATCATGCAGAAGAGTTAACGCTCAGATGCTACTGGATAGCTAACAACAACAACAACTTTACATGGGTAGCTGCTTCTTTTATCTTATTGCTGTACACATGATGTAATTCAAATGACACTGGTAACTCAAACTGTGTCTTCTGTACATGGGTAACCATTTTCAAAATTATTTTGCTAACTGCATGCCATTTAGTGCTGAGAAAAGTTTAGGACTCATTGGAACTATACATTGATAATAAGATGAATTGAAGCCTATCACTGGTGTCTTTGGACCCCTGCTGATTAAGAATGCTATTGATGAATAAGTAGGCTAACAATTTTTATATATTGTGTGGACAAAATGCTTGTAGGCCTTCCAGGTGATGCCAAAGGGAAGTTGCCTTTACTGCTACTTCAGTAATGCTTTTTTTTCTGTCTAGAGCTACAATTCTCTCGTAGACATCAGGAGGTTCGCACAGATTTGTCAAAAGACCACATATCTAAGACACTCACCTGTAGAAACGACCGTTTTCCACTTCTTCCCTAGCGTTTTTTTTTCTATATATCTGTCCCCGCGGTTTTATGCAAAAAAAATTCTAAAATTATGCAAACTGAGCCCAAAAAAGTGAAATTATGCGATTCTGTTAATTTTAACAAAGAATGATAAAGGAAAATAATCAGAAATTATGCAAAAAATGATCAAATTTTGCTAAATTATGCGGGGGTGCATAAAATTGCGGGGACATATATATATTACAATAGCCCTGTTCAAGAGGACCATCTGTCTAAGATGGTCACTTTTTTTCTTTGATGTGAACGGTCGTTTTGAACTGGTTCGGCTGTGTTTATAAACAGAAAAAATGTTGTCGTCATGTTTAATTCAGCTATTTATTGGTCTTTTCTACATGTATGCCTCAGCACGGCGTTGTGATACAAGTGTTGACTTTTGAGGTTTAAATGGTTCCATTGCTAACCTGCTCTTTTTACGGGATAGGATTTTTTCTTTTGTTTCAGTCGAAAGCTGCCTTTCACATAAAGTCTGCAGGTTAACTCTCTATGAATGAAGAATAGTATAGTATATTAGATTGACAACTTTGATGTAAGTTTGCCTTGCAGTATGCTACCTTCTGCTAACTTATCTTTTGTGATACAGAGAAAAAAAGAAATATTTTCCTTTTTGAAGAAATATTTTCCTTTTTGAAGAAATGTTTTCCTTTTTGAAGAAATGTTTTCCTTTTTGAAGAAATGTTTTCCTTTTTGTTCACAGGAGGAGCGGCGGAACCTTTCCTGATCTCCTCGCCGCTAGGACGCAGCAAATGGGGACAGGTGAGATAGAGAAATAAAAAAGCCGATCATGTAGGCGTACAGTCAAGCACGGATAACTCAAAACGCAACGGGGGTTGACAAATGTGTTCGACACATCCATAAATAGGGTAAACTGTGTAGTGAAAAAATTAAAGTCATATATCAGTCAAGGAATGCCAAATTGTATGAGCTATCTGTGATTTTGAGTTTTCCGTGTTTGATTTTTCTGTGCCTGTTGAGTGTTTTGTACTTAAAGGCTAAAGACCCCCCCCCCCCAAAAAAAAAAGAAAGTCTCGATTAAATTTTGTTTTCTGTTTTGGAAAAGTCTAGTCTGTAAAGAGGGTAGATAAGATAACTGAAGTTTAATAAGCAAATCGTTGCCGTCGTGGGAAGAATTAGTTACGCCAATGTTATATTACCCACCGGACTATGCAAAGTCGTCTTCCCTCTGCCCCAGAGGTTTATTTTCGTGAGTATCTCCATCTTTCTGCTGGGAGGGGATACTGTATCCCACTCAGGTGGAGTTGGCCCTGACAGAGACAGGCAGAGTGGAAGCAGCCCGCCTCCTAGATTATCTAAATTGCGTCACAGTCACGGGGGCAGATTTAACCCTCTCCATACGTCATGTTTTACTATCGTATCCATACGACGTGGGGAACCCTGTGCCACCACTTAACCCTCTCCGTACGTCGTGTTTTACTATCGTATCCATACGACGTGGGGAACTCTGTGCCACCACTTAACCCTCTCTGTACGTCGTGTTTTACTATCATATCCATACGACATGGGTAACTCTGTGCCACCACTTTCCAAAGGGGAAATTTTCTAATTAATCCGATCAGTACGCTTTGCATAGCAGTCTGTCAAAATGATTTTTTGAGAAATACTGAAAGTTTCAAAGAGATCTTAGCACTAGAAGTTTTCTAAAATGTTAAAAATACAACCCCGGGGGTACAAAATGACCCGAGGGCGTACGGATAGGGTTAAGCATTTCAATCAGTCATGCCTTTCTTTATATGTTGATTGTGAACATCACTGTAGTGGATTTGTTTTGTTGTCTGACTTTTTGTTTTTGATGTTCTATTTTATTAAAGTGGCGTCAGTAGTCTAGTGGTTAGGTTAGGCTACTGGACTCGCTATTGCGAGGTTACGGGTTCGAGGCTTGAGCCTCAGGCCCAACGTTGTGTCCTTGGGGGAATGCCACTTTACACGAATTTTCCTCACTTCACCCAGGTGAGAATGGGTACCTAGCCATAGACGGTGAAGGATCTTGTCAGTATGTGTTAGTGTTTTAGCGCCTATTAAATGCCAGCTTGCACTGTATACTTCCCACGAAGTTGAGATTGTTTCAGAATGCTATCAGGTCTGCTGGGGTAATATATAGATTTTAAAGTGCATAGAGCTTGCTGTTGAGCGGGAATTTGCTCTAAAAACAAATGTAATCTATTATTATTATTATTATCATTACCGGCATTATTATTATTATTTACCATATTATTATTACTAATTTTCAGAGAAGTGACATGATGGTCAGTTTGCTGGACATAGTTCCGACGGTCCTGGATTGGTTCAACGTCAGATACCCGTCCTACAAGCTGGAGAGCAAGAGGGTCAAGCTGACCGGTCAGTCCTTGCTCTCGGTGGTCAACGATGACTCGGCTCTAGCGGCAGGAAAACTTCGTTCTGAGGACACCCCTGGTGGTGCAAGACACGTGAGTAGTATGATGTTCTATTTTTGGTAGAGGAGGATTCCTTTTCTTGTCCTCTTTAATTTAGTTTTAGTAGAGGTTTTTACGGCGCTCGCAACTGCACAAGGTCATATGAGTGCCAGAAGATTAGAGGTGTTGCAAGGGAGTAACAAACATAAAAAAGAAGGAGAGGAGATAAAGATGATAGATGTTTGATAGGAAAGAAGG